CGGGTTGACCGGGTACTCGGTACCACCGGTACTTAAGAAAACCTGGTACCGTAACGTTTACATTTTTTTAGTACAGACTTGGTACCGAAATACCGGGTCTTTTGACAACACTAATTCAGAGTTATAACTATATATTCAGATTTACATTTATATATTCAGAGTTATAACTATATATTCAGATTTACTTCTATATATTCAGACATAACAATATATTCAAACTTATAACTATATATTCACAATTTACATTTATATATTCAGGCTTCTAACTATATATTCACAATTTACATTTATATATTCAGATTTACATCTTAAGTGAAAACAGAAAATAGAGATAAATTGCAGAAATATTAATAAACATCGATGTATAAATTGGCATTTATTTATTATTTATGTATTTTTTATAATTTTTTTACTATTATTATATCACTGCAAATGTTATTATATATTATAACACTGTTATATAACATAATAATTTTTCTGCACTTGATTATGGGAAATATAGTGTCAACGAGTGTACATTAGTTGTATTCTATAAATCAGAGTGCATTGTGGGTATAAATGAGTAAACTATACATAGAATTAAATGAATCATCAATACTACAAACCACTATAAAATAGCTGAAACCCGAGTTACAAAGCAAAACGACATGACCATTTTACTTCTGTAATCAGTACTGTTAGTGCTGCTTGTCTTAACAAACATTGTTAATGAATCTAACAAAGTAAATGTATTGCTGAATTACTAGTAGCTTTCTCCTCGCACATTCCCTCTCTCGCTGCTTGTCTCCATCTTGCAGTTCTCTCCTCCTGTAAGATTTATCCCTAGCGTTTTAACTCGCCCCATATGTCACTTCTATCGCTGAAGTGCATCCCTCCCAATCTCTCTCTTTCTCTCTCTACGCGGTTTTATGGCCCTATATGAGCTGTGAGGAGCATTAGATGTCAGGAATGCTGTAAACAGCACGTTACTGACAGACACCACTTCAGGAAGAAAGAAAGACAGAAAAAGTGGAGCAGCAGCCTTCGAGGAATCATTCCCATCAGTTCACCTATTGTACTGTACTGTGTAGCTACAGTATGCTGTCTAGGTAGGCAGCGCACTAGGTTTGCGTTCAGCTCCTCCCTCTTTCTCTTTCTCTCTCCAGCAGGATTTAGAAACCCCCTGAAGCAGGATCTGCCGCTGACGGAGACGTTGTGAAATGCAAATAAGAAAATGGTTGAAATATTTAGACGTAACATTACAGCATGTAAATATTTCATGGGTGTGTACAGGATGTTAAGCCTGTGCATTGGTTCTGTTCCAAGCCTGTATGTGTTTCATTCTTCTGTTGAACAAAACAGAAAATATTGTGAAGAATCTTTACAATCAAACAATTGCTGGTAGCCATTGACTTGCACAGTATATGGAAAAAAATTACTATGGAAGTCAATGGCTGCCAGCAACTGTTTGGTTACTAACATTCTTCAAAATATCTTCTTTCCAGAAGACAGAATCTCGAAGACTGAAAGGGAAGAGAAGAATTGTTTGTTTTCTTTGCACACAAAAAGTATTCTCTTAGCTTCATAAAATTACACTTGAACCACTGATGTCACATGGACTATTTTAATGATGTCCTTACTCCCTTTCTGGACCTTGAACATGATAGTTGCGTTGCTGTCTATGCAGGGTCAGAAAGCTCTTGGATCTCATCAAAAATATCTTAGTTTGTGTTCTGAAGATGAACAAAGGTCTTACGGGTTTGGAACGACATGAGGGTGAGTAATTAATGGCGAAATTTCATTTTTGGGTGAACTAACCTATTAAAGGGGTCCTATTATGCTTTTTCACTTTTTCAATTTTAGTTAGTCTGTAATGTTGCTGTTTGAGCATAAAAAAGAGTCCACTTCAGAAGGAGATATTTCATTTAACAGAAATCACTTTTCAAAAACTACAACAAACGACTTGTTTGGACTACAACACATATTTTCCAGGATTTGTGATATCACAAATATCGACGAATGGGACGAGACCTGGTTGAGCTGCACTAAAGAAGGCAACGAGTGTTATCACTATGTCGGAGACACGCTAGCTTTCCCAAGGCAGACGAACTTAGAGTGGTTACAATCATCCGGGTTTAAATCG